TAAACCTGAGAGGCAGGGTAGAATATTTAGCAGAACAAACTTCGAAAAATTAAGAGAATTCATTTTAAATTTTGATTAACCAAGTATTTTAGCCAATAATGAACCAATAGAGGAGTTTCATGCACTGTTGGTTCATTGCTTTAATGGACCCATTTCCATTGTGTGGGATGAGAAAGAGAAAAATTAAAAAAAATTGGATCACAAAAGGTATAAGGATCGCAAGTAAGAATTTGAAATGCTTGAGTTACATCAAAAAATTTACAAATAATCTTTTTTTTCACGAATATTTTTTCAAGTACAGAAGTATACAGGGTGTCCCACGACGTTTCTCCTAGGTAATAACTTCGAAAAGCGTCATCCAATATAATTGAAATTTTCAGGATCTGGGTAACTTTTTGTGCCGCTTCTACCATTGTCATCCAATTTCACCAGTTACGCTTCAATTTCGGTCAAGTGACGTCATCTTTCGAATCTTAAATGCAACTACTCATGGTATATTATGGCATTTTTCTTTAGAAAATTGAATAACAAAATCGGCATTGCCATATTTATTAAGGCTTTGTTGAAGAAAATGATAAAAAGTTATACAGTGGAACATACGATGATGCGTTCCGAAGTTATCATTTGGGAAAAACCTCGTGTTTCTCTGTTTATTGAAAAATAGTAAAAAAAGCCAAACTCATTTTTTAGATCGGCTAAATAATGCAAATAATAAAACTAAGGAAGCTTGGTCAATTGTAAATGACCTAAGAGGTAAAAACAACTTGAAACCCTATGTCTCGGACCTCGACTGGAATATTCTGAATAAATATTATTGTTCTATTGCAAATAAATTAACTGAGAATCTTCATTCCAACATCGACCTTGAAAACCTAAAGGATTTAGTTGTTAACGAGACATTTAATTTCAGGAATACAAACACACTAGAATTAAGATATACTTTTAACGAAATAAAAAATAAAAATAGCTCTGGAATAGATGAAATCTCCATAAAAATTTTTCAAAACCTTAATAACCATGTTCTAGATATTTTGGCTCATGTAATAAATCAAAGCTTCTCTTCTGGCATTTTCCCAAATTGCCTCAAAACAGCTGTAGTTATTCCACTACACAAAGCAGGGAGTTATGATCACCCCGCTAATTTCCGCCCTATTGCATTGTTGCCAACCTTATCCAAAATAATTGAAAAAATTATAAAAAGACAAATGCTAGGATTTATCAAAACTAATAACATAATAAACAGTAGCCAATTTGGTTTTCAGAAGTACCTTAGCACTAACGATGCAATATTTTCATTTTTGGAAAGTTTGTTTTTCTGCGACTTTACAAAGGCGTTTGATTGCGTTAACCATAAGCTGCTGAAAGATAAACTTTGTGTATATGGGTTTAGAGACATTTCTTGGCTCTACTTTGAATCATATATTACTGGACGTAAACAAATGGTTAGAAATGGAGATTCTAAGTCAGAGTTACAAAAAATTAGTCATGGAGTACTACAAGGGCCTATTCTTTTTATTTTATATATTAATGATTTATCCAATATTCAAATTCAAGCCCACTTAACTAGTTTTGCTGATGATGCAACATTAAAGTGGAGCAATACTAATCAAGGCCAACTAAAAACCATCATTTCGGAAGATATTCTCAAGGTGAAGGACTGGTACGATGCCAATTTCCTATCATTCAACAAAGAAAAAACAAAAATATTAAGGGGTATCATCAGTGAAAAATTATTTCGACGGCGCGCCTTTCGAGCATAGTCGACCGAAGCGCTCGCCACTAGACCATATTTTTGCATTGGCAACAGTGTCTTCTTCGTAGGTAGGTAGGTACCTAACTTGTCGCGTGCCAATATTGTTTTTGCCTTTCAATGTGAAATAATTACAAAAACGACTTATAATTTGGGGAGTACCTAATTTACGACATGGGCACATAATAATATTTTTATTGTAGGTCTGAATAAACAGTTTTGTTGGAAAGCTAAAGCAAAAACTTTTTGAAAAACGGTGGAAAAAAAAAAATATATGTTTTATGGTTATCGATATACTTTAATCAATAAGTTTTTTAAGCAAATTTGACTCGCCATTTTTGAGTTATATCGCAAAAACTGAAAAAAAAAGGAGTTTTTCACCATTTATTTCAAAACGAATAGATGAAGTTTCCCATTATTTTTCTTACGAACTACTATTGCAATTCTACGCGCCATATATTTTTTTCAAATTTTTTGAACTTTTAGTTTTCTCGCTACTGCAAAAATAGTTGGAAATACGCCCGTAGCTACACTGTTTAGAAAAAAATCCGACGGATGAACGTTCAAAATTATTTGCGTTGGTCGAAACTACAACCCTGTTTATGTAAAACAGAATAATACTTCGAATTTCCTCCAAAAAAAGAAAAAACGTTACATCACACAATTTAACCAAATATAACAGCACGAAGTTTTTAGGATTACATATTTCATTTCATTTATTTCAAATCAACAAGAATATAAATTCACAATAATTCATAACAAATGTGTTGTGAGCAAACAAATGAACCTAAAGGTTTGTGTGTGTATGCTCTAAGAAAAACTATATATGTATATTATTGGCTTAAGATTATCACAAGAGAAAAAATAAATAATAATACGTTATTCTAAGTGAAACAACAATACAAAAAATCACAATTATCATTACTTAATTCAATAGCGGAATAAGTATTAACTTATTCTCAGAGATCCAGGAGTTTATTTTCTTTTTGGATTTGTTATAACATTTATTTTTAAATTCATTTGGAAGGACGTTATAGATCTTGGGACCGACAAATGCAATATGTTTTTGAGTTTTAGTATAGTGCATTCTAGGTATAATAAGTTCACCCGCATTCCTTGTGGCAACATTTGTACTTTTGTAGGTTCTGAGAATATCATATTTGACCATAAATCGAGCCAAAATTTTGACAGTGAGCAATTGTAAGGAAAGCACTTCAGCATCACTAAATAGGGTAATGGAGGCATAAAGTCTATCCTTAAATAAAATTATTTTTACTATGGTTTTTTGTATCACATTAACTGTTTTGAGAGCTTTTTTAGACGCAAGGCCCCATACAACCAATCCATATCCTAGGACAGATTCAACAAGAGAATGATACACCATTTTAATAGTTTTTTGCTTAAGGATTTGCCCAAGTTGTAGGAATTTATACAGGAGCTTTCTTAGTTTACTCGTCACATATTCAATATGTTTCTCATATTTTAAACATTGATCAATAAAAACTCCTAAATACCTTACACAATCTTTCTTTTTGAGTTTAGTTTTACAGTTACATTCTCCTGCCAAAGCACATCCCACAACATGGACTGTCAGGCATTCCTGGGTTGGCTGAGTCGCCGCTGTCTTAGTGAATGTGACAAAATTTGTCTTTTCTGTATTAGGGGTCAATAAACTTATATCCAACCACTGCTTAACATCATTAATAGCATAGCTTTTTCAGCCTTTGTATATGTCTCATTCCAGGTGGCAGAACTGATCAACAACACCGTATCATCAGCAAAGCAGATAACCTTTGCATGTTTTGTTATTTTAGTTATTTCATTTATGTAGATAGTAAAAAGGACAGGACCAAGGACTGTTCCCTGTGGCACACCAAACTCCGCCGTGAATGCTTCACTAAGTTCGTTTTCTATTCTGACTTTCTGAGGCCTTTCACTAAGGAAAGATTTGAATAGCTGCAAATATTTTCCTCTTACACCAACATCATCCAGTCGTTCCAACATTATTTGGTGTGACACAGTGTCAAACGCCTTGGTCAAGTCTAAAAATATTCCTATTGTTTTTAGATTTTTATCTAAATCATCCACAATTTGGTCTGTTACCTGACACAGTGCATTCTCCGTCCCAACACCATCCTGAAACCCATACTGTTGAGGAGAAATTATTTTATGTTTTTGCAGAAAAGAGATAAGCCTTGATTTTATACATTTTTCAATTAACTTCGATATAGTGCTTGTTAGGGATATAGGTCTGTAGTTAGTCATAAGATTCCTTTCACCAGTTTTATAAATAGGGATGATTGTAGTTTCTTTAAAGGTAGCTGGAAAAATACATTTATTTATGATTAGATTAGTAAGATGTAACAGTGGTTGAAGTAGATACTGGTGAAACATTTTTAAAATTTTAGGGGCAATGCCATCATTGCTAGATGCTGTGGATTTTAGTGAATTTATTAGTAAAATCATTTCATGCCATACCTCTAGCATTGGATATCAGCTGTCCGTCCTGTGTTTTTATGTTTTTTATTTGCAAATTAGTTTTATTTTGATTATTTATGTTTTTGATAGTCTTCCAAGTTTTTTGCGGATCACCCTGACACCTGCCTATAAGTTGCCTGTAATAATTTATTTTGGAAGATTTTATTAATTTAGAGAGCATATCTCTATGCTTGAGGTAGTTATTACGGGCAATAACATCAGTAGGGTTTTGGGCATATTTTTTTTTCAATTTATCTCTTTTTCTTATGGACACTAGCAGTCCAGCCGATATCCAAGGTTTTATACGAAAATCTTTGTTTGTAATATGTTTTTGTTCTAATGAGAGGTTTATTTTTTGTTCTAATTTTTCCACAAAGGACCTGGCAGATAGATAATAATTTAAAATTCGACATTCATATTTCAAATTTAAATAAAAGGCTGTCATCTGGGTGTTTCGCAGTTCGGCAGACTTATAGTGAACTTGGCAGTAAGATGGCAAGAACAGTATACTTTGCCCTAATAGAGTCTCACTTGAGGTATGGCATTGCATTTTGGAGTTATTGCAGCAGACAGTTGTTTGGCTCGGTCTTTGCTTTGCAGAAACGAGCTCTTAGGTTTATTTGCGGGGCCAAGCTTCGAGATCATTGTAGACCACTTTTTAGAAAACAACAAATTTTGACAGTTGTCTGCATTTTTATCCTAGAAATTGTTTGTTTAATCTTTAAGAAATATAAAAATTTAACTCTTTCGCATCCTCATAATACAAGAAATCATGGCTGCATTGCACTACCTATCCCTCATTTCACTCAAACCAAACAGTCGCTTATGTGACAGTGTTAAAATGTACGACAAACTCCCCAATTACTGCAAACTTAGTGAAGATTATGGGAGGTTTCGGAGATCAGTGAAAAAATTGTTGACTGTGAAGGCCTATTATGATATTGATGAATTTTTTAGTGACACATTCTAGTCTACCTACCTACTCTTCGTTTCAGGTTTTTTGTCTATTGTTTTCATGTATATATGTACCAAAAACTTGGAAATTGTATATATTTTATATTTAACATCTAAAAAATCTATGTGTTACTGTGTTATTGTTGACTATTTTATTTTCATTTGTTTTTTGTATTATGACTATCACCAAAGAATTTTAACTATTTTAACTATTTTGACTATTTTAACTATTTTATAAAATTAAAATTAAAAAAAATATATTTCATAAATTGTTTACACTTATCCTAGTACAAGTTAGGTACTTGACATTTAATTGTAGTATTTACCTTTCACTATTTTTGCTATTGCTTTGTCTATAAAAATCCTGTATTTTTTGACAATAAAGCCTATTGAATTGAATTGTCATTCATTTTGAAATACATATCTCTTCAAATAAGGTCGAGAAAGAATAAAATTATTTTGGGCGAATTTCGGCTTTTTCTGGATATCTCCGGTAGCACTCGGAATTTTTAAAATATCAAAACATGATTTTAATGAGCACAAAATTGCGCAACTCTTTACTAATTTAAGCGACCTCGTATCTCTTACCGTTTCCCAGATCCCCATACTGGCCCTCCTTATCTTGGACACATTGTATAAGAGCATTTTTATTACGCATGCATCATAATCAACGATTACCGCACGCTGATAATGCGTCTACCTTTTCAAAGGTTTGCTATAGAAACGTTTGATCTACCTTCATTACCTAGATATTTACCTGCATACCTGCCATTTAAATTACTACTTATCAAAATGAATGAACACTTTAAAAACATTTTTGAGATTATGATGCATTCGTAATAAAAAATAGCGTATGATATGCGTGTATAAGAGGGCATTTAAAGCCCTTGCGACTTACAAAACACTCCCGCTGCGCGTCGTGTTTTGAAATATGTCGCGCGTGCTTTAAATGCCCTCTAATACACTTATATCATAATATACTATTAAAGCCCGTGCGAGTTACAAAACACTCGCTTATCGCACGCTGCAGCGTGCATAGAATGATGTTTATGATGCACCTACCTTTTTAAAAGTTTGCTATAGAAACGTATGATCTACCTTTATTACCTAGATATTTAGCTGGTGTCTAATGTTATATAAACTGCTCGCCAAAAAAATCGGAACAAGCAATTTTTAGTACCATATTCAATTTGTAAGGTACCTGTACCAAATAAGGCCACATTAAGAGGTTTTATTTTTTCCCAGCATTAGCCACCAAACCCAACAAAAATTACGGGCTTATATGTGAAGTGTTTCGCTTCTATTACTCGAATATTAACTCCAATTTATTTAGTTTTTTATATAAGTGCTGGTTTTTGCGTAAAACAAAGATGCTTACAATTGGCCTTATTTGGATCACTATGCTCCTAATAAGGCCACCATTGAAAAATGTTTAAAATAAATACAATTATTTATAAAAATATTATTATTTGAGCAATAGTACACAAACTAGAACTTATACGTTTGCTGCATTCCTAAAAAAACAATAATTCCAAGTCCTGGGGTGGTGATCCAAATAGATCTACATACAACTAGGACAAATGAACCGCAGCATCTCTTGCTTGGTTAGACTCCAGGCTAGGGATAACAAACTATCGATAGGAATATCGATAGTATATCGATATTTTTTTTATTTTCGATAGTATCGATAGACCTGTACCAATATCGATAGTTCCAAAGTAGCCAAAGGTAAATGAAAACATCTGTAAGTTGAGGGAAATATAAAGAAATCTGTAGCTGTTTCGAGAAATCTGTAATTATTTTTGGGGATAAACATACTGTGCTGCCATTTTTTAGGTTAGGAGGAGTGACGAGTAACTTTGATGGACTTGATGAAGGTTGGAGGTTAATGGTTACCTATTTAAAGTTATGATGTGATTGTTATCATTTGATAAATTTATTTCGTAATTAATTACAAATTTGGTTACTTTGGCCAGAGCAAATTATCGATAGTACAATCGATACTTACTATCGATAGGTAAGCCATTCTATCGATATCACTATTGAGAGTTTTTTTTTCGATAGTTTGTCAACCCTACTCCAGGCATTTCGAAAAATATCACTGAGGTATATATATAACACATTCTTTAAAAAATACACTGTGATGTGAGGGAAATGAACATTCTTCGTATGATGGCCTTATTAGGAACATGTTAAATTGATAAAAAAAAAATTCTATAACTAGAAATCTAGCAAAGACATTATTCTGTACCTACTCTGTAGTTTTCTCAATACATAAATGTCCATGTAAAAATTACATTCGCTCCGTTCACTTTATGAACATGTGTATAAACCAATTAAGTTCCAGCCTCAAAGTTATAATGTGACATATGAAATATGTGGTAGGCCATTTCTCGACATATAACGAGTTGCTAGGAACCCTCGAAATAATTTTTGATTTGCATTATAGAATTCTTTTTTAATAATATTGTAATTTTTGAAAATGGGATTCAATATTGAGCAATAAAGGGCACTGGCCTTATTAGGTACATGGCCTTATTTGGGTCAGGTACCTTATTAAATTTTTTATTTTATTTTTGTTTTTAATGCGGTTTGTGGTATTTGATAGTTCATGTTGTAGAACATATTTTTTTTTGAAGAAATGCATTTTTAAAATTATACAGGGTGAATAATAAATTAATGCAAAAGAACAAAAAGTATGGATGTCTGTCATATTGACAATATTTTTTTTTTCGTGTGACATTTACAGTTGAAAATTGGATTTTTTCAACTTTGACAACTAAACGGTTAATTCTGGGGCAAAACCGATCATACATTCTCATCTTAGTTTATTATAAACTATCATTTGACAACAACTTTGAATTTAATCCATGATTAAAAATTCCTGTTAAATTTAATCTCCAGTTAAATTCAAAGTTGGTGTTAAATAATAATTTATGAAAATTTAAGATACAAATGTAAGATCGGGTTTTCTCTAAAATGAACCGTTAAGATTTAACAGCCTGTCAAGTTGAAAAAAGTCAATTTTCAACTGTCAATATTTCCAAAACAGTTGAAGATAAGTATAGGGTATATAACATGAAATACAGTTTTTCATATATAGATCGATTTGGTTTCCAGTGGGACACCCTGTATATGTATATAGTTTTTGAAAAGTGGCTCGCTCAAGTTGAGGCAGCAATGTAATTTCGTATTCCGATACCAATAATATAACGAATTATCTGCATTATCTTCAAAAGTTTTATCGGCCCTCTTATTGTGTCCTTGAGAGCTTTTCCCAATCAAATAAATTATTAATACATATTCTTTTTTCTTGCAGCCGGCCGCCCGATAGTAAAAGCAAATAACTATCAATCACAAACACCTGATCAATTCTTCGCTCAACTAGCTGCTCAACAGCAACCATTGCCCCAGCAGCGCACTTACCAGGCAGTCCCAACTGCGCCCCACCGCAAGCCGATTATTGGACAGCAATATCAACAACAGCAAGGTTTGAATCAAGATTTTCTCTAAAACTTATCACAACAAAAGTATTGTCCAGATAATAGCAAAGTAAATCATTTCAGCATCCCAATACGGGCAATCTCAACAACAATATTCCCATCCTAATCCTCAGTCCTTCCCTTCACAGCCCACGGCGCAACAGTTAAGGGCGCAACACCAACACAGGCCTACCACTACCGTACAGCCGCAAGCCACTCCGGTGGGTCCGGCCGTGCAGCCGCAGCCGCAAGTGCAACAGCCTCAAGGACCGCCTCCGCAGGCGGCAACGACGACGCAAAAGCAGCCAATGGGGTTTCAGCAGCAAGGGCTACAGCAACAGCAGACGAATCCCTTGTGGCAACAGTTCTTTAATTCGGCAGCCCAACAAAGTGAGTATCACATGAATCTTACTGCTTTTACTTTAGGAATATTTATTAAGCTTTGGTCAAAAAAATGAAAAACACATATTTTTTTGTAGAATTCGCTATGACAATTTGGTATATTTCTCAAGTTAATAATTTTACTATTAAAAAGTAGATGAGTTAGTTGTCGTGACGCTCTGTAACGTAACCTATCTACAATTCTAGATCCACCCTCTTTCCAAGTCTTACCACAGAAAATAATAACAGTATCAACTGCATAATATGAAATTATTTTTGCCATTATTCCTTTATCTTACTTACATTAATTGATTTTTTTTTTCAGATTCTCGCCAAGCCGGTCATCGAAGCCAACAATCTGGGGCTCTCTCTCCCTCTACAGCTGACCAGTTAACTCGCTGGTTCTCGCCTGATTTGTTAGAGCGTGCTCGCGTCGGCGATCTTCCTAGCACGGCCAATTTGGCACGTTTGGAAGAGATTGAACGCCAGGCGGCAGCACCAGTACATAACTAGAGCTGCTGAAAATGAACGGATCGGTAAGTCAACCTGCGCATGGCTGGCAGTTCATGTTGGAGTTCGCTTTTGTGATTTGTTCCTGGTGTGATTTGTTCCTGGTGTTTGATTTTTAGTTTAAAGTAGCTTTTATTTTGTATCTGTTTATGTGTAAATAAATGGGAGAGTTGTCATTTGTATTGTTTTTATTTATTTATTAGGTATAGAGGAAAATTGGTATTTGTTGAATGTTTCAAGTTATATTAGTTATAGTTCTATCAGGTGGCGATGAGCGAATAGATGTCTGAAACAAAAAAATTATTTTAAACTTCTAAATGTATATTAATGAGACGGAGTGCACCAAACTTAATATTATTAAGTCTTGTTTTTTAGATCTATTTGTGATAATGTTGGTAATGGGAATCAGTTGGTTAAGTATTTACTTTGTAGCATCAATTTACTGACGCATAAGTTTTAATATTTAAAAGGCATAATGCAGAGTACACCAATATTAGGAACACCAAAATTAAGCTTAATCATTATACCTCTTGGAAATTAGAGCTTTGGAAGAAAGTTGTGATAATTTTATTGATTATGATGTCTGCATGCAAAATAGAAGTTTTGTTCTGTTATGAAGATAGTCATTTTAAATATTTTTGCATTTACTTCAATAGAGTAACATCTACCGCACTCAAAATTAGAGTTAGTTTATGCCTGTATAAATTTAGAGGGAACAATGATCTCTATTAGCCTTAATGGAGAAATCTTCTTCCTCAGCCATCTGTTTTCCAGTCCTGAACCTAGGCCTTTTTTATGCATCCTCACGCTTTCCTGTCTTGTGTAACGCTCTTTTGTCGAAACAAAAGAATGTTCATAATCTGTGCTCGACTATTGCTCAGTGGTTGTTTAGCATGGGGTGGTCCTTGATGTTGGTACAGTAGAGAGAGGGCGCCACTAGTTTGTATAAATAATTTTGATTACCAAGGAATAGCCAAACTAGGCACTATTCCATTAATTAGTTATTGTTTAAAAAGATAAATTCAAAAAAATCTGAAAAGGTAAAGTAAATCCAAAATCCAATTGCTATCTGACATTTAACCCATTCAATAAAAACACAAGCTTTGGAATTCTAAACACAATTATTTATTAATTAGATGTCATTAAAATTTGTGACAATATGGCGAACTTTTTTCTATGGTTCTAAGAAAAATATTGTCTAGTATCAAAGTTTTTTTTAAAAAAAAAATCATTAAGCAGCTTTCTAAAAGCAAAACCTAATTTAAATAAGTATAGTAGGATTGAAATTCAAAAACAATTAATAGATACCTACTATGAAATTTTCCTAAGTACAAATGATGGAGTCACAATATCATTAACCTTTAATTTTTGACTCAAAGTCAATCAAATCAATAGAAAACAATTTATTCAATGCAGAAAGGTAATAAATAATCCTTAGGCAGTTATAAATACCAAAAACCTGCTACGTGAAATCAAGGCTTCACGGTTTCCGGAAGAGCTCTTACCTTCTTACCTTTAAAGTTCAAATAGGTAACCATAAAACTTAAATTTGACTACCTAAAGATTTTACATTAGTAACCCTTGTAAAACTACCACATTATTGATTTGAAATCAGAAGTTAAATCAACTTTTTAAAGATTAATGAACCCACCCATATTATATCGATCAATACTGGATATAGAGGAAACAAAATTTATAATAATTGTAATAATGCATAATTTATTGAAAATAAATAATTATTGAGAAAACAATAATAAAAGTAAAAATCTTATTATGATAATGAATAATTAATTGAATGGATAATTATATTTAATTTGTAGTTAGCTATTCTAGCTAAATACTACAAATACGGTAAATGAGTCGGTAATTGATTTTATACAGTTATGAATTAGCTAATTAAGCTAATCGATAGTAAGCGATAAGGAATAGATAATAATAATTAACAGTAATTAATATTATAAAGATAATAATTAGCTAATAAAGGTAATCGACAGGGAGCGGTAAAAAATAGATATTATCAAGAAACTGTAATTAATAAGGCACATAAACGGTACCCCTAGGTAAGTAATTATACAAGCCTGGACGAAATCCGTGGAAATCTTCACGAATTTGAGATCCAGAAGCACCAAACTGACGGAAGGCAATCATCCAATGGTCGGGGATCAATCTCTTACATGACACAACTTTCCTTGTAGAGGGGGCCCAGACTTGCTTTGGAAATGCAGTACCGCATGGTCTCAAATTCGTCAAATTTTCACCCAGAAGTGCAGGCGTGGATTTTTAATACCCTCCCAAATTGCCTGAACGGAATAAAGAAATATAGGGACTCATTTATCAAAGGGAAAAAGGGTTTACATACCTCAACGGCCGATAATAACCTCACTTTCAGAAATTTACACAAAAATCAACAATCTATTGATTTTTCAGGAAACGTTCCAGCTGGCACAACTACTCACTTCTCTGGCTACTTAAATTAATATAATTTTGGGCTCGATGGCCAAGAATGAAAACCAAAGTTTTTGGATTTCTCCAGAGACGACCTTTTTAGTCTTAACTATAAAATCGAAAAGAATAGTCCAAAGTACCCCTGTGGTTCTGTCTTTCTTCCTCCTGTCGAAATTATAAAAATGACAGCGCTACCGGTTTTCAAAAAAATAACCCTAGTTAGGTTCGGAGTTGGAGTGGAGTGAATAAAACTAACCCTAATATGGTAAAAAACAGTACCAGAGGAGCGAATGAAGTCACTCGAAGTGTACGGAGTGAGCAAGCCGAACGCATCTCTCAATAACATAATTTTCGTTATTAGGTTAGGAAACTAGTCAGAAAAATCATAGATGTCGCCAGGTGTACGGAATAGTATTTTAAACTTAGAGCAGGTAAAGACATAAGGAGTAGGAACGCGCTAGCATTTAAATTTTAAATGAGTTCTTAATATATGAAATTAATTAAGAACAATTAAATATGTTCTTGTGACATTTCAAATGTTACACTTGTGCTAACTGGACTACCTGCTTCCTGCTTCCCACACCACACACCACGTTTTAACAGTTTTGGTTTCCATTGTATCAACCTTGATACGTGATGTTGATGTCCTACCCATTGCAATTTTGGGCTCCGCATTATGTTCTATTATATCTACGACTTCAGTTCTTTGTTGGAGTTCTTCATTTCTGATTTTATCCCTAAAACTTAGACCAAGCATTGCCCGTTCCATAGCTCTCTGCATTACTCCAAGCGATCAGCTCGTTTCTTTATCAATGACATAGTTTCTAGGCCATAGGTTGCCACTGGTAGGATGCATATAATAATAATAATAATAATGATAATTTATTAATAAAAGGGTATATGTACCAGGTGATTGTCTATATTTTGATTATTTTGCACCCACACCTATCTCACCTGTTCGAAGAAATACCCAGAAATTTCAAATGTGAAAGTTGTAGGTAATATCAGAAAGTTTTGAATGATGTTAGTTACAAGTATACAGGATGTGTCACAAAAGTGTGGCGAAGCAAAGTTATATTTTTTTAAATCGAAAACCCCATATATTATTGTCCTATTGGATTAGCCTTTCAAACCTGATTTCAAATATACTTGGTTTTTTAGGTTTATTCCTTATAGTCCAGGAGGAAATAGGACAAAAAGGGATGTAATAATAAAATTGCATTTTTTATTGAAAAAGGTGAACTAGAGACCACCAGCAAAATATAAAGTTATTCATTCATATCAAAAATCCATAATATTTCTTCAAAATGGGATATTCAGAGACTGGACTATGAGAAATAAACCTAAAAAACCTAGTATATTTGGAATTAGGTTTGAAAGCCTAATCCAATGGGACAATAATATATGGAGTTTTCCATTTAAAAAAGTATAACTTTGCTTCGCCCAACTTTTGTGACACACCCTGTATACTTGTAACTAACATCATTCAAAACTTTCAGATATTACCTACAACTTTTACATTTGACATTTCTGGGTATCTTTTCATACAAGTGAGATAGATGTGGGTGCAAAATATAGACAATCACCGGGTACATGGCAAGATGAAATAGCAGACTAAAGTATCACGTCTCAAAAGGGGTGTGACCCAAAAATAAAAGTTTTAGTGCAAAAAAGTCTAAGAATAAATATTTAAACCGCATCTTGCTACAATGGTCCGTTTTCGCGTTAGGGCGGTTTAAAGTTACAACTAGGTGTGTGTGATGTCACACCGAATTATTAGACACAGTATTAACACGAATACATGTAAAATTTTTCAAAACAAAAGACAATTATCTCACTAAAGCGAATTGCAACCACTCAAATTATAGGGTACGGTTCACTGACAACTGAACGAACAGAAGACTGCGATTTCGGCGGTTGTGACATTACGACACAAGTTCCTGCATAATTTATCTTCATAAGGAATTTTCTCGGAGACTATTTTGAATATAGGACTGCGGTTTTCACAAGAGATCTTGGATTTTTTTCTTGATTGAAGTAGCTTAAGTCGTTTTTAAGGATCACACCCCCTTTAACGTAGTCACACTCTCGGAAATGAATTAATTTCCACTGGTAAGTTGATAAAAACCTATATTCGTTTAGAAACCATGAAATTTTTCTTGCATAAGTGCTTTTCTATTATCAAAACCATTCTTGACCTTCAGATAATTTTTAAAACGTTGCCTGTAACTATTGACATCTTCATTTTTGGAGTGAAAATTTTCGAATGGCGACAGAAAAGAAGAAGTGGAATCGATGCCTGATGAATTTGTTGTTTGTCCTCGAATTTGTATAGTACTTTGGCCTGAAAAACTAGCAGTCAAAAGGGACATTAATTGCTTAAATTCTTGGAACAGGTAAAGCGCTATCCTACGGACATCAGGAGTAGGAACGCACCATTCTACTATGAAAGTAAAAGTGAAGCCCAGTTTTTGTACATTAAATGACAGGTAACGTATTGAATTGGCTATACCGCCATTATTTAGTTGTCCAAAAGGCTTTATTTTACAACTTCATGTTCCTACTCTTCCCACCTAGAAAATTACCTGCTCTAAGCTTGAATTGATGTTCACACGAAAATAATAAAATCGTAAGTTCTCGCATTCTGGTTATTCTCGGACTTGAACTGAGAGATATATGGTGTTTGTTTTGCCCTTATCATAGCTATTCTTATATATAACTAGCTGCTGAAACCCGCCCGCATCGCTGGACGTAATATGATTAAACATGGCGTTTTGATTGGTAGAATTAGTGTAGCATGTTGAAGAAACAGACAGGAATACTACCATTTGGAAACGCCATAATTTTATCGAAAAGAGCTATAGCAGTTTTTAACCCCTAATCAAGGGTTACAGGGATAGAATTTAAAATTAACAAGGGTGGTTTAAAGGGGGGTAGAGAAGGTAATTTCCCCCCCCCCCCCAGACAATGTTTTTTTTTATACACTTAAGAAGAAAATTCCAACAAAAGACAAGTTCTATAAACTAAAGCATAGAAGGCATTGTATAAATTGATAGGCTTACCAGTGTCAACGTACCTACTACTATACAGTGAAATAAAGGGTACCTATTTCATTTGAAAAAAAAGCTATGGTTGTTTTAAATGTCTGGTTTTGTGTACAGTCAGTATTGCGAACACCGTGTAGAATGTTATCAGATTTTCATAGGACCATGAAGTAAATGAAAGTATACACTAACAACCTGCAAACGTCAAAGGTGTATGATTACATTTAATCAACATAGCTTTTCGCTTATGTATTTAATTTTTCAATCAACGTAGCCCTGAAAAGCGTGAGAGTCACCCGTTGTAAAAGAGTTGACTGATAATAATTTTTTTCTATTTTGGTGTCATATCGAAGTCTTTTCGAGACTAAAAGTAGTTTCGAAAAGAACCTCTTTGTGACACTCCTTTTTTACTTATCAGAGGTTGGTGACACTGGCTGACTGATAGCCATCGAACTGTCATTCGCAATTTTATAATAGAAGATTTCTATGTTTGGCATGTAGTATTACCAACCTAAACATATGAAATCAGGAAATATGAGAATAAAATTTCCAAGAAAAATTTGTTTTTTTTTAAATTAAACAATACCAAAATAGAAAAAATAGTATAAAATATTCGTTTCATAAGACATTTTATCGCACTCGCCCTTTAGAAAACTCGCCTCCGGCTCGTTTTCTAATATAGGGCTCGTGCGATAAAATGACGTCTTATGAAACTTGTATTTTAATGTACTATTATGACACATGTCTTGTCTTTTTAATAAAAAAAAGTAAGAAAAAACCAAAGTTGGAAGTAAAAATTTACATTTATTTCCCTTCCTGCGGGTTGGGTGGTCCTTCGAAGATACAGAGTAGCAAGTTCCCGATTAATAGCTCGACGATACGAAACATTGGTCACTTCGGCCAGGATTGGAACAGCGAAGAAAGAATTACATCAAGTTTTTCACGAATTTGTGCCTACGAAAGGTTCCCGAAAGTCATTTTCACGAGAAGTTATCCACGGAAGTTGGTCTACAGTACAATATAGGACATTGGTTGTCCTTTCACGCACTGCTGGAAGCGCATTGATATAAGTTTTTTTTTTTTGTAATACGGGTGAGATCTTTCCTAATTATTTGCTTTTGGTTTGTAGATTGAAATTATAGATCTGGATCTGTGTTGAGTAAGTAGCTCCATAAATTTTGTAGTTAAAATTTTGCGCAAATACGTAGGTACTTGAGGATAAAGTAATAAAATATGGGGTCCAAAGCCGGGTCCAAAGCTAAAAAAGAAGAAATTGTTGATTTAGAGCATAAAATCAATGTTTTGTTATCAAAGTTAGGCCGTTTTAGTAATTATTTAGCAAACCCAAGCAATATCGATAAATTCGAACAGATAAAGTTAAGGTTGAAAAGCACGAGAGAAGATCAGGTAAAATTTGATGAATACCAAACGCGATTAGAGTTTTTAGATAGATCCAAGGTATACGAGCGCGAGGAACGCGAAGATGAGTTTTTTCAGGTGATGTCTGAAGCTGAAAAAATATCGAAAAAAGAATATGAGCCGACAGCTCAACAAACAAGGACACAAATGCACCAGGTATCAATAACGCAACCTGCATCTTTCACACCCAATATAGTTCAACTAGGGCTACCTAGTTTTTACGGACATTATGAGTTATGGTTTAGTTTTTGGGATGTTTATAAAGCCATGATACATAATCGAACGGATTTTCCCGATTCTTTAAAATTATTGTATCTGAAAAGCATTTGTAAAGGGGATGCGGCGAAAATTATTGACAATTTGCAATCCACAGATGAAAATTATGAAGTAGCTATAAAATTGTTGAGAGAAAGATACGAGCACAAAAGAGTAATCGTTAATCAACATATAAACACGCTTTTATTCAAATTACCCGATGTAACGCGAGAAAATGCAAAGGCTCTTAGAAATTTAGTAGATGTGGTTACTCAACAGGTCAATGCATTGGAAAAATTGAATATGCCTGTCAA